GCCTATGAGGTCTTTCTTTGGATGAATAGAGTTTTGAGAGATTTTTATAAACATTTTTTCCAATACAATTTCAAATATAATTGAATGCAATATCTTGACGATATTTAATTGAACAAAAACATTAAACATTTTATAAGAATTAAACAAATTTTTGCATTTTTACACATTTTTTCATAAATATTGTTTTATTCATTTTACTTAAGCAACATATAAATCAAACATCCAAGCTTAATATTATTTTCAATTTATTAAAAGAGTAGTAAAGCTGTTTTGTTTTTTAATTAATCGAAGTTTTCCCAAAGAAATTTTTAATAAAAGTAATTTCTATATATTTATATATATATATATATATATATATATATATATATATATATATATATAATTTTATATTTTTATACCCATTACCGACAGATGAGAGGTATATTCATATTGTGCAAACGTTTGCAGTGCCCAGCAGCGAGCTTCAGACAACCCGCTAAGTTTATATCCTATTAATTAGCATTAAATTCTGAATCGATTAAGACATTTTCATAAATTCATCCGGCTGTTTGTCCGTCTTTTTAATTTATGTTGTACACATTCCCTTCACTGGAACTATCAACTGCAAGCTTTGCACGCATGTTAGTATTAAAAATGGGCCAAATCGGCTGAAAGACACGCCCACAGTGCCACGTAAACTGAGAACACCTCTGTTTTACAAAGGAATTAAAAATTGATTTTTTCCTCATTACTCATTAGGACTACAGCAGATAAATGTACAAAAATTTGAACGTATAGACGATGGACGATGTTGTGCTATCTTCAAAAAGGAAAATGGAAGAATTCGGCCATGCCTACTCAATATTGTAGTGTATCAAATTCAATTTTTTTTTTTTGTTTTTTTGATTACCTTTATAAGGCACAGAAACAAATTTCAAAAACCCCATGAAGAGTATAAGTTCTTCGTCATTTTCAAATTTGGAATGCATCTACACATGTCCATCTATTCATCTGTCTATCTGCGCAACCGTGTAGTAGTATTAGTCTGTGGTAAAAATTTTCACGTTCGCAACAATGAAGATATCGCCTACAAAGTTGCAAAAGAATTTGAAAGTAACTTAAATTTTTTTAAAGCATACGACTACAACGCCCCATGCCTATGCGGCGAAAACTTTTAATTTAAAAGTAGAAAAGATCTGCTGCGACCAGTCCATATAATGAAGCATGAAACTCAAGTTCTTTTACTTTTTTTTTTTTGTCCTCTTTATAATAACGGTGATGGGTATAAAAGATTCGGTCACGACCGAATATAATGTTCTTACTTGTTATTGTTGAAACTAAAAACTAAGTATTTTGTACATAAAATATGGTTTAAGGTACTAAATAGAAACTAAAAACAAGAAAATTTGAAAAAAAAATTATTTTACATATAAATGATTTCTTTATTTATACCGAAATACATATGAATTTGTTGTTGCTTATTGAACATGCAGAACTAAAAGGCATTACAAATTGTTGATACAAACATTTATAAATACTTAAAATTTAATATTTGGATATTTTTTTATTTTTTTTTTATTTATTTTTTTTTTTTATATTATATATATATTTATATCTCGCAATTTTTTTTTTTTTTTTATGTGTGTGCTGAAATAATCACAAGCAAATATTGCTACTAGTTTCGTACATTCTCTCGCTCTAATACAATTATATTTACATGTACACATATTACAAAAAAAAAATTAAAAAAAAAAAATAAAAAAAAAATAATAAGATTAAAACAACAACAACAACTTACGATATTACAAACAAATAATAACAAATGTTTTTAATAATAATTTTTTTTTCTTGATTCTCAGTTCAGTGTGAATTGAAAACAACATAAACTGAAAGAATTTGAATAAATAAAAAAAAAAAAAAAATAAAAAATAATAATAATAATTTCTGTCCTAAGGATTGAGTGGGAGGTAAGCCTTTTTTCTATTCATATGAAATTCGGAAAAATGCAAGCACGCCTATAAATTCCATTTGTATTACTACTCTGACAGTTCATTCTTTTACATTCTTTGGCAACAATCTTAACGATGATAGATACGGGGACGAAGGGACAATTTTTGCTCATAATTGTGAAAACAAGTTTAGCCATGTGATGACACGCAAAACACGTATGAGATGCTCGTGGGATCCTATACAGATGCTGAGTCAATCCGCTTAACTTTCATCATATATAAAAAACTCCGAGATTGACTAGTTACACCCACTATATCTATGCGTACAGAGTTTGTCCTTCATAGTAATCGGCTTCAAGATATATCCCTCTAACATCAATTCTAAACACTTTCTTCACATTCTTTAGTAATTATCTTAACGATATATCGGGAAAGAAACTATCAGTAGATAAAAAAAAGAAAAGAAAAAAAAAAACTATTTAGGCTTTAGATTACATCAAGAGTATCTAACCGAATAAATTCAGCATATTTGCATACTTTGTAAAATGTAGGATAATCAATATTAGAAGTCTGCAATGTTCCTAAAAGCTTTCGTTTTCAAGATTCGTTTCTTCATATACCTCAGCAACGCTTAAATATTGAACTGAATAATAATTAGGACATTCATTGAATAAGGCTGCAAATCAATAAAATGAAACATCTTAAGAGCTCCCCAAACCTGTTCCACTTTCTTTAAGCACATCTAAAGCAATCAGAGAATAAACTTCGAATGAGACGTTCGAGTGCACTCTTGTCATGACAGCATCCGCAGTTTATTTATAGATTCAAGTAAAAAAACTATTTGGCTTCTAAGTACAACCGGAATCATTGCATAGGTCTCAACAAGTTATCGTTTGCTCGCCAATTTATCTATTGGATCGCCAATTATTTCTAGTCGTGACTCTACAAACTAATCGAAACTTTCCGTCAAGTATGCTTTCTTCCTTAATTTATCTGTCAGATCGGAACATTATGCGGAGATTTTTCTTCGTAACCGTTTGTCATGAGATATCATTTGCTAGAAACAATTCTGGTCTAGCAAGCGTAAGATATAATTGAACTTGCGACTATTCACTCTTGACACTGTCTTCGGATAAATGCCACGTGCACTTCACAGGAGATATTTTTTCAGTTAATAAACACCGATTACATAAGTACAACCCGCAAATGGGAGTGGCAAAATAAAGTTGATTTAGATTAAGGGAGCAAAGATCGTTTCAATTTATTTTAAAGGCTTAAAATACTGTCCACTACAGTTGATATTTTAATAGCGTTATATCTGTTATTGCAATAATAAAATTCATTCTTTTCATCAATTATTGCCGAATAATTCGAATAAATTTTCTCTTTGTCGAAAGTTTAGCTAACTCAATGTCCTTCATATTCGTTTCAATTATTATTCATTACTTAAGTGATCGTCGATACACATTAATTAAAACGATCCTCATCCTTGATATCCCTTGCTTCTGATGCTGATGCAAATTTGACTAAAAAAACTTGATTCTCGTTTATATAAATTACATAAGATTTAATACTTTTAAGGCATTTGTTTTATCTGTAAGAAGAAAAAAAAAAGAAAAAAAAACAGTTAAACTAATTTTTAAATCTATTCGGACTGTGATATGTTGACCAAAATCGTAATAGTAAAGGTTCATCTTCTTCCTTTTCATTACTCTCTACCGTATTAGTCTTGGCTTGATTTTCGGTTTGCTTGCTAGTGGTGGTGGACTTATCAACATACCAAGGTATTGGTGGCCACCAATATGGTTCATAAATATTATTGTTATTATTATCATTTGTTGTTGTTGTTGTTGTTGTT